AGCCCCGAGCGCGCCGCTGCCCGAAGACCCGAGCCTCGGTGAGGAGAGCGGAGCCGCTGCCGGACCCGGCCCGCCCTGCCCTCAGCACACACGCTCGGCCCGTTGCTTTCCCAGCCAAAAAACCCCAAACAAAGCCGGTCCAGTGCTCTCCGGTGCTGCCGGACGCCGTTTCTGTCGAAGTCCGTCCGTCGCGTCTGTCCGCTCGTGCCCGCGGGAGAGTCCCCAACGGCGCTGTTAGGAGATGAAGTGAGTCTGCGGGGTGATCTGTTCCAGCTTGTGATCGGCTGGGTTGGCCGATGCTTCGTAATTGCAGATGGTGACTTCGTGGCGATGAGCCTGAACGAAGATCAAATGCGTTAATCCAGAGGAGAGCGGAATTCAGGTCCCGCCTAAAACACCGGCAAGAGCCGAGCAGGTTCCCATCTTACAGATTTTTCATTGCAGGCCCCCCCACGCTGCTCCCACTTCTTCCTCACCACTTGAGCTCAACTTAAGCTGCGAATTTAAAGCCCTTTTTACACTCTGAGCAGTCGCGCCCACTCTGCTCTCACTGACCTCCGTCCACTCTCCCTTCAGGCCTATGTAAAAAATCTTCGTTGTCTCTGCTCCAAAGTTCTTCGGGAAGTGGATGGAGAGGTGGTGAACGTTGGAGAAACGGGCAATTCTGAAAGAAAACACACTCTGAAACCAGGGCTGTGGGTACAGCTCCGCTGCGCTGCTGCCTCCCCTCAGTGCCGCAGCCCCGCACCGTGCGTAGCTCCCACCCGAACCCGAGTCGGACGTGGGAGCCAGCGACTGAGGGTGCCGGAGGACCAGCCTCCCTCGCGCTTGTGAGCGGGCAGCAACAAGCTGTCACCAGGGCCAGGAGCAGGGAACGCGACACCGGGATGATTCTGCACCCCAAAAAGTCCCAGGGCACGGGCACCCTCCTAGCTCTGGGGAGGAGGTGTTTGGAGCAGAGCTCTCGCCTGACAAGGGCAGGACAGAGCCAGGGAGGCAAACGCTCCTGTGGGGAGCTTTGAGATGCAAGGGAGGGACCTGCCCTGCACTGACGCTTCCCTAAAACTCGGCGGCACACGATCGGGCCGGACGAAGCGCAGCGCCCGCGCCCGGGAGGAGCAGCGCCCGCGCCCCCAGGCCCACATCCTACTTGGTGGGGTACTCCAGCTCGCCCAGCGGGTCCCGGTTCAGGCTGAACGTCTGCTCCGGCTCCCTGGCTGTGTCATCAAAGGACATGTGAGGAATGTTCCTGAACCTGGGAAGAGAGGGAGGAAACCCAGGAAGTTATTAACACGCAGGTCAGCTAATTGGTTTCCTTC